TTAAATCTAAAGAGAAAAGGTCAGACTGAATTATTAAAAATATTTATTACCATTATTTACAAAATTATACAGATGTTGTCACTGGTCAGTGGTCACTGGTCAGAGACAAGGACTGACACGATCTTAACTACTCTTGGTTAAAAAAGTTATTTTAAGCACTAAATCAAAAGTTACTCCATTTATGTATTGATAACTATCAAAATTAATCAAAACATGCATAAGTTACTATAATAAACCACTTGATTGAATCTATACTATTAAAGTTGAATTACAAAAATAAAGTGTTTGAAAACATGAATAGTAAGTATTTAAAATTAAGATGATTGGAAACAAGGATAGCCAACAACTCTAATGGACTTATTTATTAAACTAAAAATTATTGCGGCCCAAAGTACCATTATTATTGTTTTTAGGTTTTCTATCCTTGATATTATTTTATTTCTGAAAATTATGTATACATATATGTACTCGTGTTTTAAGTGTATGTGGAATAAATCAAGAATAATATATATTTTATTTATATAATTTATATTGATTATTGTTAAAAGTTTTTAACAGTAATATACTAGCATTCCAATTCTTCATTAAAAATGAACTTAAAAATTTGACTAAATTGTTTAGTGTATATAATTTTTCACCAAATTTAGTCAAAAAACTTTATAAAATATTTTCGGGTTACAACAATTTACCGACGTCCTGTTACACAATTCAGTGATGAAATACAATGTTTAAACAGTATACTATTACTTAGTAAAATTGGAACCGTAAGATTGTAATTTTTAAAATATTTATATATACCTTAAAAATAAAGGGTTATGATCTAGTTGGGATTAAAACTAAAGCAGAGAGAAAATTGACTAAAATCTTGAACTCAGATCAATTTATTCAAGACCCATCTCTTAGTGCGGATTTTCAGTTTTTATCAAGTAAACAAACTACTTTAATTTCATGTTTTGATATGGTAATGTTTATTGCTCATCTCATTCATATGTATATTTTTACATACACACATAAAAACGTGGCAAATCTAATGTTAGCAAGGGTGAAAAAAAAAGTACAGAGATGAAAAGTCAAAAAAAAAAAAAAAAAGACACAAGGACAGAACAGAGAAGCCTGTCTTCTATTATAACTCCGTAACAGGACAGTACTCACTATGAAAATCATGAACACCAGAAGCAGCCCAAAGCCGTTGATTAAACTCCTCTTGCATCTCCTCAGGAACAAACGGTGTTCTACAAAGAGGACACGTCTTCTGATCATGATCCATCCAACGGTCGAGACAGCTCCTGTGAAATATATGTCGACAGTTTCTCAGCCGTCGGATCTCTTGCTCTCCTTCGAACTCGTAGAGACACACGGCGCAATTCTCCGGGAGATCCTCGCCGGAGGAGGAGGTCGTCACGTCTTGGAACTTGATGACGGGTAAGATCTCGCGGATTAGGAGGGCGGAGAAAGGGGAGCGGAGTTCGGGTATTCGGGTCGGGTATGATGTGTAGTCGGTGGGCCAGGTTTGGTCCGTTTCGAGGAAGTCGGAGAGGCCCAATAAGCGGAAGAGGGAGAAGACGACGGTTCTGATGAAAGTGAGGATTGAGAGAGTTTGTACGAAGAGCTTTGGGAGGAAGACCTCTGTGTAGCCTACGGGGAAGCCCATTGGAGCTAGAGAGAGAGAGAGGGAGTGTGTGAGAGTAATAAAGGTTGAGTTTTTTAATAAAATACAGAGTTTCTTTTATAGAGGTGGTGTGGGTGGAGGAAGAAGAAGGATTAAACGACGTCGTGTCATGTAGGATTGATTTTGATAGAATTAACTGACTGTGACGTTTGTTACGTGAAAAGATAAAAAGAATAAACATTTACTCCAATTTGAGTTTAAAATTTGTTCACTATACCACTCTAATTTTATTTTATTTTTAACACTGATAATCATTAACAAGAAAATATGCATTCAGTTTTATTCCACAATTTATAAAATAAAAACAACAAATTTTGTGTTTATTTGAGTATAAATAATTTTTCACTATACTACTCTAATTACTAACAAAAAAAAATATGCATTCAATTTTATTCCATAATTTATAAAATAAGACATTTACTCCATAACTATACGACTCTAATTACTAACAAAAAAAATACGCATTCAATTTTATTCCATAATTTATAAAATAAAACATATATTCCATAACTATACGACTCTAATTACTAACAAGAAAATAAGCATTCAGTTTTATTCCATAATTTATAAAATAAAAACAATAAGTTTTGTGTTAATTTGAGTTTAAATAATTTTTCACCATACTATTCTAGTTACTATCAAGAAAAATATGCATTCAATTTTATTCCATAATTTATAAAATAAAACATTTACTCCACTTTTTCCCTATGTTTTGACTCTCTCATTTATTTTTCACTTTTTAACTCTATTTTACTTTAAAAATACCCTTCAATCAGACCCTAAAAATGGGAAAAGCAACAAAGGGAACAAAGATTGGTCTGTGAGATGTGACTGTGTCACCAACATTATTAGATTATTTTATTCGTCTGCGTGCGTCTCTACTGTGATACCATGTTTCTTTAGGAATATAAACATCTGCAAGTTGCACGACGACCGGCACACGTGGTACGTGCGGTTGATAAGAGAGGTTGATGTGGATATGGTTTCGTCCTATTATTCATGACATTCATTGCATGTTACTATTCGGTTGATGTGGATGTGGTTTGGTATTCGTTGAATATTACTATTTTACACGTGAAGTTTACTCCAAGACTGTAGAAAATATCAAAGACCGGGTACGTACGTTCTCGATATCTGGACATTTATTTCATCGAACACACAAAGAAAGCTTCATTACATTTGAAAATATTTGAAAACAAAGGATGTTAAATAATATGATGAACATAGTTAACTACTAGTTTAGTCAAGCAAAAAAAAAAATCGAACGGCTGGGCTTCATTACGTGATTCATACGTCAAAGAGTTCTATATGGTGCCTAGTCTCTGCATTTACTGAGAATTTCCCTTTTCCTTTCCGTGTTCCTTTCAATTGTTTCTTTACTTCATAACAAAGGATGGAATATAAGAAAGAAAAATACAGTTTTATTTCATAATCACATCTGCTAGTCTTGTGACTATTAGGTTATATAACTTTTCTTAACAATTTTACATATTTTATCAACAACAGAATGGATGTTAGTGGTAGACAAACTTTGGAAAGTTAATCGATTCAAATTTAAATCAAACACATGACACTAAACTTCATCTATTTTTGAAAGATTAGTCTGGAATTTTATAGGTTAATGATATTCTCACGTTAATCCAAATAAAAATAATAAATATATAGACAAATTAATTTTGTGATTCTATGTTGGTATTGGTTGGAGAGTCAATATCAACGAATTAGAATATATTATATAAACTAATTAATTTTTGTTTACTATACACATTTATTGTGTCCTCGTATGTATATTTTACGAGTTTCAGTTTGATTTCAGTTTGATCACAAATTTTATATCATTTTACGAATTTACCTTTAAGAAATAATATTTTTTCATAAATATTTTAAGTTTATAAGAAATAAACTAAAGCTAACCTTTTTTTTTTTTTTGAACAACACTAAGCTAACCTTTATGAATCATTTATAAATGTTTTAAGAATCATTTATAAAACATTATATAAGTTTATAAGCTCAATTCCACCTCTAAATATTAAATTCTAAACAATAATCATTAAACCGTAAATTCAAATATTAATATTGTTGATTGAATGTAATTTTGAAAAGTGATACCCACCTTATAGTATTTCAAGTCATTTGTTAACTTTTTAATAGTTTTACTGAATAGATTTTTATCGATGTACTTTCATATCTATATATACATCAAAATGTGGATGAATGTATCAGACTATAATGTTACATATATAAGTATAATTTAAATTTGAAAATCATGATAATATGGGAAGAGATGTCTAAAATTTGAATAAATCTATTGATTGTAAAAGGAAAAGACATTAGGTCGAGTAAAACATGACAAAAGAAAAAGTTAAAAATAAAGAAAGTAAATAGAAACGAGAGAAGGCCAAGGGTGTGTGGTGACTGGTGGGTCATGGAGGCTTTAAAGAGAGGGAATAGAGATGATTAACAAAGACGACGAATCAATCTTTATCTAGACCCTCTCATTTTCGAAAACGATATAAAGAAAGAAAAATGAATTGTTTAACCGAGTGGTGGGCCGAAGAGAGATATAGGAGACAAGTCGTCGGTGGTAATGATCCTTCCACCAACCGGCAATGGTTCATGGCTATACTTTTGATCGGACAAATGTCGTTTTAGCCGGAACTGATATGAAACTAGCCATACTTTTAGGTTTATCATAACTAAAATCGTATTTTAGATAATCAAGTGATTATATGATAAACTAGCCATCTTTTTCATAAGATGTACACAAGTATGGCTTGTTATGGGAGTGTATGTATGACACAATAAAAACCATAGATAATTGAATACAATTGATACTTTCGGTATATTCATGAATCATGAGGTTGTGTGTGTGTGTGTCTTAGTTTGTTTTTATTTTTTTTTATTTTGGTCTGAAGGTGGTATGCCTTAATTAATCGAACACTTTTTTCCGCTGAAAACCAGCAATATTTGATGTCTTGATAAATAATTTTTCTTTAAATAGTTAATCATTGTACCATAACTTTCAAATTTTGTTCTTTTGTTTTTGGTATAAGCCTATTAAAAGCTTCCACGAAAACACACAAAAATTCAACAAAACTCATAAAGTATCAACGTTCCGAGCTCATCAGGGTTGCTATATCAAAATTATTCAAAGTCGTTCTGACAAGACGTAGTGTAATATTGAAACATTAATATTCATATATATCGTATATTCGTATAATTATTTAATTAGTTTTACACGAGAAGAAGTAATATACACTTACACATTACAGTAAATCAGTACACATTAAATAATATTTGAAGACAGAATGTCACGAGATTCAAACCAAACTTCTTTGATCTTAACTAGTCACCGAATATGCATGTTCTAATGTATATTACACGACAAAAAATCAAGGAATTTGTCAATTACAATCGGTCCAATTAATCAAAAGAAGAAAAAGAAGCTCTAAAGCGATAAGGGAAAGGTATGGAGATCGAGTGTCGATTAGGAAATGTTGTAATGAGGCCGAGACAGTCACATGGCCCAATTGCTTGTATGCCTTTCATCTCATCTCCAATCTCTCCTACACTTCTCTTGTCATGTCACCGTTTAGTATTTGGTTACTCGCACCATCTCTTTCTCTAGTCCCATCATGAATGATACGAATATACTTGATTGACTATTTCTTGTTGTTTTATAAGCAAATTTATACGATAATCCCAACAACATGATCCAATGTTTGAAAGATTGTAAATGATGTTTTGGTGAAGTCTGCGGTTCAATCATCATTTTATAGAAAAAAACTTTTATGAACATCACGTAATAGTAAGGGTATAGTACACAATATTATTATTTTTGATTAAAAACTGCGATTTTTTTTTTTAACTATCAAATCTTAATTACTGGAGTTCATGTATGTAAAGTCTCTTCTCATTTAGCAATTTTATTTGCTTTCTTAAAAAGGAATATATACATATATGCACTGAGTAACGTGATTTGTGGTGTTGCTTTGCATGTGTAGTGTTGGAAATAAAAGTAATTAGGTAGGTACAGTTTATATGTGAATGATAAAAGAAAACATACTGTTCGTTAATCAGTAATCAATGTGTTTGTTTGCAGATGTGTTGGACTGTAATGCTCCCTATTAAGTAGGGTAGTTTGAATTTTTTGTTTATATGTATGCATCGTTATAAAAAAAGATATCGTCAAATTACACAAGGATATTCATAGAACTAGAAGCCTAATAATTGTGCTAGTAAGTGTAGTAACAGGTGTCGACTTGTCTTTCTCGTAAACGTCACATGGTACCACTTCATGTATTTTTGTCCTTGGACCATGCATGGACCATGTACCACTCAATGTTTTCATTTGTAATTTCGTGAGAAATAGAGTGCATTGAATGTGTAGAAGGTACATGTACTACATCAGGTCGTGAAAAATGTACAAAACCGTAGATTTTTGCTCGACGCCCCCATAACTTTCTCTTTAAGTATTGGACTTTGCATTATTTTCGGCACAATCAGACTTGCACTTGGAGTCTGGGACTGGTCCTATTGATAACCTTTTTGCACATCTTGCTGACCCTGGCCATGTACTATCTTCGGTGTAAGTGTGATCCGAATCAAAATTGGGTTTTGTATGGTTTGGGTAATTTGTTTTTGACAGGATCTTTTTGTGTGTGTTTTCTTTATTGGCTTTCACATCCAAGTGAGACGTCAAAAGGGGGGATTTGGGAGGAGGGATGCGTATGTGATCATGTTTGTACAAATATCGTTAAAAGTATTAATTACGTATTTTTATTTATATAGATTATGGTCGAATGCAAATTAGGGTTTGCCGTAACACTGCTCTAAAATGCACATTAGGGGTCTATGAGAGTGTATCTCTTCAATTTTTTTTTTTTAATTATCTCTTCAATTCTTTGTTGGTTTATATATCTTGTGAAACACATTTTCGAGATATAAGCATAACTAACAAGTAACAACTGTCAATTACAAGAAAAGACTATGGAGTCTCCAAGAAAAGAATATGTAAAATCTCATTAAG